TTATTAAGATTTCTTATAACATAAGATTTGGCACTTATGATGAATAAATTTATAAGTTTGTTTTTGATTTTTTTTAATCTTACTAGATATGCAGTGGGGTTTTCTCCAAAAACAATTATTTACACTTATAATTTTACTTGCTGCTGAATATGAAGGTTCTGGAATATATGAAGGTTCTAGAAGAGTCGAGCGATTTCAATGACCCCTATCTTTCCAAATGTATTATTTTTGGTATGTTTTATAGGAATGCTAAATACCGAATCTAATTTAACATGAAAAAAAACTATTGAATCTTAGTTTATTGACTTGTAAAAATTCAGGTATTTCATATTAAATATAATTCAATACCGAACACTATAAAAATATAAAATCTTGTTCCCATTGCGTTGAGTTACAAGACAATTTGCAATAGATGCAATATATGAGTTCCATAGATGCTACTTTCTATTTCATAACTGCTACCAACACCGGAAATTCCCAACGAGTCATTACTCTTTCCCAAGTCTCTGGCACACGTATGAGTTCCACGTTCTGTTTGCATACATACGGGTATGTACGTCACATAGCTTCAGCGCCCTCAACAAGTCACGATTTGGCGTAGGCATCAGATCAAAGTACGTAATGGATATAACGATAAGCGGCTCTGCATGCATAGGAAAGCTTTGAAAAAGCTTGAGCGAACTTTGATATTTTTGAGAGGAGCGGAAATTCAGTAGCATAAAGCTTTGAACTTCACTTTTCCTTTCTAAGGTAACAGAAAAGCCCTGAGATCAGTTGTTCTCTCAAACATACATACATATGTAGGTAAAAATATGTGTACCATTATATTCATAGGAATATCATCCATTTCGATATAAGCTCAAAATCATTTATAGATGAACTAAAACGCTTCTAGACGTAAGATAAATTGATAACAATTAATAATTGATAATTACATATACAAGTATGGAACAATAAATGTTAAGGTCATAAGCAAGAACATATTTCTTCAGCTGTCGGTTTTATTAATGATGACTTGGAAGAAGGCTAAATGAATCATCACAGATTTAGGATTAATTAAATTAAACTGGACCGCAAAATGCGTCAACAAAAACGTTACAAAAAAATCCAAAACAGCTGTGAATGTGTTCGCAAGCTCTCAGTCGCTTGCATTTATCTTGCCGTCTCGTTCTCCGGCTGTCTCGTCAAGCTTCGGCCAAAGCTGCACTTATCCATCGAATAAGCTCCGACCAATTTGTTTTTAAACTTTACGTTCAGTTGCTTCTGACTGGCGCGTTCCGATGAGCGTGTCGTGTGTTCCCGCTCGCTCGCTTGCGCCTCAAATCGAAACTCGTACCCCACAGAATATAATTTTATAAATGTTATCAGAGCCTTGCGCGCGTCTCCCAGTATTTAACTGTTTAATTGTACTTTATTTCGGAAAATCCCGTCGCGCGCGCTTACCACAAGTGGGAGGAGACGCATGTGTGTGTATGTGAAGCCGTGTGCTTCACCAAATAGAACAGAATCAGACGAGTGCCATAAAAGCGCATAACCCTCGCGGAACTGAACTCATTTTAAGACAAGTTAAGATAAACCAAAGAGCCCGTTGCGCACGCTCAACCGCGCCTGCTCGCCACAGAAAACAGAAAGGCCTACAAAGTTTTGACTCGTATTACTGCGCAGCTCGCAAATAACGAAGTTACTAAAGAGGCAGCACCAGCAACCACAACCACATACAGGCAACAACAGCAGCAATACTAAAGTGAAAAGCAAAGCGACTAATTATAGTGTCTGGCAAGAGCCAACGTGCAAAGGAAACAAACAAAACGGAATAAGCGACACATCACAAGTGGAAGAAGAGGCGAACAACAATTATATGTGAACAAAAAATAATAATAATAATAACAACAACAGCATCGGCATCGGCGTCGGCGCCAACAACAACAACATCAAACGAGCAAATAAAATCCGGCATTCGTTTGGTCGTGCCAGTTTGTTTATTTTATTAAATTATACGCAAGACTCGTTAAAAATTATTGCCTGCAATTCGAGAGCTGACATTGGCACCCAACCAAACACCTACCATTTATTGGCAGCTGCTAACAACTTTTGTACAAAAGTCAAAGTAAATCCCCGGCTCAAAAACGGCAGATCCAAAGCACTGTAAGATGCCTCCCATGTGGTGGAAATTGGTCAAAACTTTGCTGCTGCTCTGTGCACTCTTCACAACGGTAAATATTTTTATGTACACTTATGGGTCTTTACACATAATAAGGGTCGCATTTTAATCGGCTTTGGAACAAATTTTGACTAATCTTCTTCAATCATCGAATTGCATTACATCTGTATCCGCATCGGCAGGTGGTGGAAACATTTTCATTTTCAATCATCATGCATCGCTTCATATAAATAAGTTGTGACTATCCGTCTATTCAGAAGATTTATACATTTCCTAAGATGTATAAAGCTTAGCCTAGGAGGGAACACTTTTCAGTTGGTGTTAATACCAGTTCGAAAGTCAAGCTTTTACAATCTAAGTTCCGATTATTGTGCTCTGGACAGATTATAAAGTTAGGAGCTGTGATATTGCTTAATAGTTGGAGTTCAACTCAATTATGAAATCATATATGTAATTATATTTGAATTATTACAAAAGTTTTTTATTTAGTTTAAATTCAATCATTAAAGTATTAAAAGGCGGCTCACGATTACACAGTTAATATGCTATTCAAAAGAATTCAACCAAAGGTTTTCACTAATGTCCTCTGTACGGCCTGTACGTTCTGTCTCTTAAGTATATGCATATATTTTCTTAGGACAGAAAACCCATTTTTTAAGACTGCCCTTCATACATACGAGTATGTTTAGTATATGTACTCGTAGAAATTTATATGAACAATGTTTATGGCATTTATATAAATTTAAACCTGTTTTATTGCCATATTGAATTAGTATTTTCTTTAAGTGCGCTTGAATTACAATGATACCTATAAATGCAACTCTGAGGGTACTACGAGTATGTCCTCCCTACACAATGCTTATCTTCAGTACTATATGTACACGTATAGTAAACATTCACTCAAACAAAATGCTAATTAAATATTTATTAATGATTCAATAACGAGTTAATTATACTAAATATTTATTCACAAGAAGTGCGTCTGTCGTTAAAATGTGGATTTCGAAGAATCGCCTCACGCGTTCCGAGAATCGCCCGCTGTTTATCTTTCATTGAGAGCTGATCACCTCAAACAAATGCCAATTGGTTAACAGCAGGTTTGCTTCCACCTGTCAATACAGAAGGTGTCGTTTTTAAAATTTATGACCGCTTGATATTGTGGTGGAAAGTGTTTGAGAATGCCCAAAACAGGTTTGTTCTACTACAATAGTTCTAACGAAGTGCAAAATTGTACAAATGTATTTGCATACGGTATGTGGAATAATGATATTTCTTCATGAGTTTGTAGCGCTTTTGTAATTTGACCCTAAGTTACGGATAATTTAATTAAGCCAGAATTAAATGTATTATGAAAATGTTTTTCAAGAATTTTAATTGCGCGTGCCGTGCGATAAGTCATCAAATGTGTAGTCAATTGGTCATCAGAAATCGCGCCTTCATGTTCGCACGGTGACGTTAACGCCTCCCAGTGGCTTATTTACTGTTCGTTAATGGGCAAATCCACATAAAGGTAGAATTTAACTCATCTGCATATTGCATTATTAGGCATTGTCGCAGATCATATAATCCATTCTGGTTGAGTTCGGGTTTAGCCCAAATGCGAACCATCGGCTAATGGAGCACCTGCTCTCACTCTTTTGACAAGCAGTATTGTCTTATCGTGAGTGCGTCATTGCTTTGTCTTGAATAGATTGTTCCTTTGGGTGTATGTCTTGTATTTTGATTCTTGATTTATATCTTTTCGAAGTTCCCTGCATATACACGCGATTCGCATACACAATGTGGACTGTGGTTTTTAGTGTTAAGGGGTTGATGCAGACCATAGCAGACCCATTCTACAGAGTAGCTTGGGTTTTAAATTGTACGTAAAGAATTAAATATAAAACTGTCAATAGGAAGAGTCGAAATTTCAGAAGCTTTATTGTTATTAAATTAAATATTAAATACTTGTTCTTGTACAAGCATTGTTGTGAAAGAGGTACATTTTAGTGTGACAATTTCCTTTCATTTTATTTATTTTAAAAAGAAGACCAAAAATATGATCTTATGCTATTTTATGCCCTCCCCTTCTTGGGTAACGCTATTCATTTTTTGAAGCCCCCTCGGCATGTTTTGTTCACATTTCTACACACATAATGTGGTTTCGGTTACTTCCTTCTCTTATCGTTCTTTCATGCTCCGGCTTCCATGGAATCACTATGCCATAATTATTATTTCTTGCTGCGCCCCCAGAAACGCAGGCAGACCCACACACTCACGCACAAGCACAAACATAAACACATGCACACACACACACACACACATACACACATGCGGGCCCGATTGCTCAATCGCGGCTTTGTTGGGTGCTGTTGTCGTGGATTTGTCGTCGTCGCCGTTGTCCAAAAACAGCTGTTATTGCATGAAAGAAATTCGTTTTAGAAAAGTATTAAAGCGATTACGTTGCCTGGTGGATCGGTCATTCAGCTTATGGTGCCGCCCGTCCAACGCAGCACGCCCAAGTAGCAGCAAGCGTCTCGTTCTCTCTTTCCTAGCTAACAGCTGTTCAAACGACAGTTGGCGGCAGTCTTTTCTGGTCATAACAAATAACAACTTCAACAATCGAAGAAAAGTTTAGAAAAAATAAATAAGATAAATAACTCACAAGCAACAGCAGCCTTTGTACATTCTTTCTGTGTTGGCACTGATGATGAATCGCAAACCCAATCTTCCACAAACTTATATATATTTCAGATAGTTTGTATCAATAGCGAAATTTCGAAGCGTCGCGAAGCAGAAGTGGCTGCGGCGGAGGCTGAAGCTGCAGCCGCTGCCGCAGTCAATGCAATGAACACGGCCCGGTCGAGCAGTCCAGGCCCTGACAACGGCATTGACACGACGGCCTTTGTGGCCGATGAACTGTTGAACATCATGCGTAGCAGAGCAGAAGCGGCGCAGGAAGGCGGTGTCCCTGCTGGTACGCAGCAGCAGCAGTCTGAGCAGCAACCACAACAGCAACAGCAGCACCAGCAACAGCGACCCGTCAATGCGGTACACTTTATTTTGTGCTCACATTTCTGTTATTCGTTCGTTATTCTTGCTTGTTATCGTTATATCGTTCTCTCTGTTTAGTGTTCCCGGTTTTTATTTATCTTTTCAATTGAAAACTAAATGCTTCCAATTCCACTTGCCCTTTCGCTTCAGTTGGCAGCCAAAAGTCTTGACGACCGCATTAAGGACATTTTCATAATTAGCGAAGGCAAAGGTGTGACGCTTTTCAATGTAAGTCCCCAGACAGCTACAGTACGTAGTATATGTAAATATATATCGTCCACAACTGCAACTACTTATAATTGCAACCCCAGCCCATTCATTATCTCATTGTTCATTTTAATGTGTGTATGTGTTTGTGTATGTGTTTGCTTGTGTTTGTCTGCTGTGCTCTGAATTCGGCTCAGAACTAACCCAAAATTTACACGTACAGACCACGAGCACGGACGACGCATCTTTTATGCCCATACCAACTATGCTCGGTGATCAGCCAGGGCCCTCCTTCGTCGGCCAGGCATACACATTAACTGATCAACAAGCACAGCAGAAAGAGCAGCAACAAGAGCAAATACCAATACCAATGCCAAACCCACAGCCCAATCACTACCATCAATATCAGAGTCTGACCAATGAACAGCAAACGTTCAAAGTGCAGAGATCACCGGATGGCAAGCTGAGTCTCGTCTTTAACGATCCACTCGTCTCTTTGCAGCAGACAGCTCAGCAGCCGCAGCCGAATGTGCAACAACCTTCTAAAAAACCACGCCAGCCGATTTCGGACAGTAAGTAGGAGCACTGATCTTCTTCTATGCTTTGATACATTCAATAAAATATACGTACTTCATTCGATTAACAACTAATCACTAACCACGGTTTTACCTGTCTTTACTCACCGTCAGCTTTCGTCTTTCCCGATCAAACAGCAATACACAGACCAGTTACGCCGGCGCCCCTGCCTGTAGACACCGGCAGTCATCAGTGCGCGGATGGATTTAAGGAGAGTCGGTCCTTTTGCACCAAGGTGAAGAACTATCCAGACATATCGAACCTGAAGGACGTGCTGTCCCGTAATTTTGCCGGCTTCTTTAGCGATGAACAGCAGCCGGTGGAGCTGGGAGTTCGCATGGATGGTAGCGAGCAAGTTCTCTGCAAGAGCCGAACGAAATACCTATACCCCGAATTGGGCCAGAGCTTGGATCAGAGTTGGCATGTGATTGTCAATACCGAGGAGTTCAAGCAAGGCATTCGGGTTGAGGAATGCGAGTGAGTTGTTTTCTGTAGGCTCTAAAATAACACTTTTTAATCGACTACCATTACAGAGATGAGGGTCAGCCCTGCAACTTTTTGGATAGTTTCTATAACAACTATCAGCCCGTGTGCAAACAGCACTACATTCTCAAGCATCTGGCGACAATTAACAATAGCACAGGGGGCGAGACAACGGTCAGGAAGAGTCCAATTAAGATACCATCCTGCTGCAAGTGCGTGATAAAGACCACCATCGGTGGCTTATGAAATCTCTGAGGCTCCTCCAGATCAAACGTTGTCGTAACGCATACTGTACTGTCGCACAGTATTGCCCCGTTATGGATTAGTCAGACATGGATGTGATTTGAGGTAACCAACTGAAAACCTTTTTACTTTCTCAACATTGATGTGCACATGAATTTAAAAAAATTTGCAGTACGGCAAGCACGGGTAGGAGGATATTGTACATCAGGGTACATCAGACATGGTAGACGTGGTGGACTTTGTAGACGCAGCAGACTTGAAGACGGAGCAGACTTGGTGGACTGGGCTAGACACTAAAAAGTTTGATTGTTTCAAATATTATTTGCGACTTAATTGCGCTCTATCCGTATGCATTACTCACAAAAGGGGGAATTTGCCTTTAGAGCCAATTACTTGATAATCTTGCGCAGGGTCCAGCGCACGGCATAGAAACCGAACAGTTTCAAGGCAATCTTCTTGCCCTCCGCGTTGCTCACATGCTTGAACTTGTTCTCGAAATTACCAAAGACGTTGTCCATTGTTTCAGGCAGACAAACAAAACAAAAAACGAAACACGAGTTGTTCAAAAGAAAAAACAAGATTATTTTTTGGTGAAATGTATTTTTGGAGTGGATGTGTGTTTATTCGAACAGAATGTGAATGTGACTGAATACGATACATAGATATATAGCAGGAGTGGAAAGGATATGTTCACTGAGTGATTTGAAAATTCGAGAATCGGTGTTTATTATAACTCTTGCTTTTCTGATTTCATCAAGAAATTAAGGTTGTAAACCGTGTATTAACTATTATCTGTGCGCACATTAAGTTTATCTCCACTCTCTCTTGCCATTCTGTCTCCATAAACACTATTATTTGGCTTCAATCTTTACATTGATAAAAAGGGTTAAGCAATAACAGAATTAAAACTCTTTTTGTTATCAACAATTTTTATCCTACGTATCCTATGTATAACAAATCAATTAATCAGTTGTTTCCACTTTTTATTTCATTTTAGCTGTAATTTTCACCCACCACAACAGGATGGCAGGCCAAACTGTCCGAGAGTTGTTTTACTTCCATTGATTTAGACTTAGAATTTAGAATTTAAATATAACATTTATGTATTTTATGGACCCTGCTGTTGATGTAAAATTTCTCACATTGATGATATCAGAGCATATAAGTGTTGTGTTGTGAATGCATGTTATTAGATTTAAATTTAATATTTTAAAACCACAACAGCAAAAGCCGTTCGAGCATGTTATATCTACGTATATAGTATGTATATGTAAATGTATGTGTGTACGCTTTACAACACGCACTAATTAGAATGTATGTATAAGTTTTGAATAAATGTACGACTATATGAGTTCATGTCACAAAAGAAAAGTTTATTGAACCCAACAGCCACAACAGGAATTTAATAATTGGTATTAGCCTGAATATGAGTAGCAACGAGTGCTCATTTGTGTATTTATTTATTAATAATACTCGTAGTTCTGTGCAAACTAATTTCAGTTAGTGTGTTTACTTAAGCAGTAGACATGTGACAGGCGAAAACATGCAACAATCTACATTATGCCCGCGCCACACCGAACAAAAACACCAGCAGTAGGTTAGTCGAAGCGGAAGCCAGGGGAAGGATTCGTTGCCTGGCAACGTGGCGTATGAGCGATTCCAGCCATGTCAGTGCTGGAGGCCTGCAGTTGGTGCAGACGCATTTGCCGCGATTGGTCGTAGTTGACTGGGCCATTTGCCTGAATCAATAACTGCTATCGATTTTACCCATCGGACAGTGGGACAGACGGAAAGGACCTGCCGGCGCTGAGGCGGCGGAGAGGGCGAAACAACAAGAAGTACGAGTATGTCAAAGTTAGGCTCTTTCATTTGGAAATGTTTTTTGTGTGCAGCCTTTTGGCCATTTAATTACTATTATTTTGTCTTTGGATTGAAGCTGTCGTTGGCATTGTGTCACCTGGGCATTTCGACCATTAATCACGAACTTCTAAATAAATTTCAATTACAATTATTTTACATGAATAGCTGGTATTGTTACGAAAGGAAAGTATGCGTAAGAATGAATGCGTAGAGCATAGTGTACGCGTAATGGATTTTTTATGATTAGAGCAATCATGGAATAAATACGAAAGCCAAATGATGAATACTTATGTATAAAATGGATATTTGTTCCAAAGTATTTAGTATTTTAGTATTTCATGCTCCTTATTATAACATTTTTTCATCTAATGAACAAAGGAAGGACTTGGGAAAGTCTACAAACAAACCTTTGGCTCAGCTGGTTTTTAATACTTATTCCAAAAGAACTATATTTCATGCTCCCTTATATAAAACTTGCTCATATAATGAACAAAATTAGGGATTAGAAAAGTCTACAAACAAAATATTGGCAGAGCTGTTTGACAATAAATATGTTCATTAAGACGGACATGATTGATGGATCGATTTGTCTGTGTATGCAGATCTGATTTCTTGATCCCAGTCACATTGGAATGTAATAAAGAGATGGGAATGTAAATCAAAAGATATAACACGTTTCATACAGTCCTCGCACAGACTTACATGCTCGTATGTGGGCCACAGAGGTGTGTGTTTGGGTGGGTGTGAGGACGTATTTACCGCGCGTTTGTTTTGATTTGCGACAACAACAATCAGAGTACAGCGCACAGTCGAAGCCGATTTAGTGCGCAGGACAGTCAGGCTGCCAGACAATCGAGTTGTTTTTGTTTCTGTTGCTGCTTTGTTGCCGGCATGGTACAAACACAGGCAAGACGAAGCCGCAGCGCATTTGCATGGAAAAAGGAGTTAATGGTGGTTGCCTGATTTGTTAGTGTAGCTGCCATTGCTACTGTTCAGTCGCTGGCGCTCGACTGAGCGGTCGCCTCCTATAAAAGTCGTGTCGAGAGCGGCACGGCTTCAATAAGCCGGCAGCGAGAGTAGAGAATATAGTGTTTTAGTCGGATTTTTAGTGTTAGTGTCAGCATCGGGTGATTTTATCAATAGTGTGCACCTCTGACATTAGTACCATTAGTACCACATGCCATAAAACTATGATTACCATTCCGAAGTATTTACGAATCGTTTGTTTTAAAGTGAAATATACTAATTATCTATAAATTGCAAGCCTCTAAGTCAACGTTCGTTGTTCGCAAGCCAAGTTAAGTTATTGGCGGGTAACGCCCGACTCTCTTTAGTATGCGCAACATGTGGCTATTTTATTTAATTGCATTATATAAAATGAATATAGTATAATGATGATGCTTATATAAATTATTGAACACATAATTGTCAATTCTTTGTGGAAAGAACCGCGTAAAAATCACACACAAATGGTGAAAAATACGTTGAGAATAAAATAAACTGAATGAATGAATAAGTCGAAGAAGTTCGAAGTGACTCACGCATAATATAAATGTCGGCAACGATATGGATGGCGGAGCGCCGATTACTAGAAATCGTGTTTGGACTACGAGCACTTCTAGCAACGGATTCTTCAATGAGAACCTGCAGCAACAGGCTCTGCCACGCTTACAGACACCCGGTAAGGAGTAACCGTAGTTGTCTGTTTCAAATGTACAACTACTGAGTGTTTCTGTATTAACATTTGAAAGGTATTTCAATATTATGTTTTGGTATATAGGGCGATGACTCTATAATCAATGAACGACAACAAAGATTTCAAAATTTTATATTGAAGCTGATTATAACTAATAATAAGACGGAAAATATAAAGCTGTGTGATGGCTGTTTCCAGTGATATATCTTTCCCTATCCTTTTTATTTCCCTGTCGGTATCAACTAAATAGAAATCGCCCACTTTATTTTCAATGTGACACGAATTCGCAGTGGTCTGCGGTCATTCATATTGAGAAAGGAATTTCCAATATTCGAACAGCAATTGTGTCAAAACTACCTTAACGGTATGTTTAGTTAATTCATTATATCTTCAGATAATTAAAACATAAATGGAGATACTGCCGGCGTTCACGGAATTCGAAATGTACATACATATGTGGGGTAGAGGGAAGTCTCCTTGTTGTCAAATGTTTTAGGTTAAGTTTTTACGGACGTCGCAGTCGGATTAATAGAATCGGAAAAATCCTGATTAAATACTTTATATATGAATTGGCTTACATCCAAATATTTCTTAGTGGTCAATTTAATCATTTGCTAATGCTGATTTAGAAGAAACGTATTCGTCATAGACGTTTGTGAGTCATCGTGATATATTATGCCTTTCATGTATGAAAACATAGTTGTTGGTGCTAAGAGATCGGCCAGAGTTTTAGATTAGAATTTATAGCTCTAAAGTTCCGGTCTCTAAAAACCGCAAAATCTGTATTGGCCATAAGGTCCGCTTCTTAAAGTCGAAAACCGCAAAATCTGCGTCGTGCATATGTGATGACCAATTATCGACCAAAGTACAAGTAATATTGCGGTTGACTTTTAATTACAGCTGGTTATAAAATGCATTTCTACCTAGTCATCTTATTGATTTAGATTGAATTTAAAATCAAAGTATGAGAGATTAATGACACGTCGTTACCAATATTTCATGACTTTTTATTTTATTTGGACACGTATGATATAGTCATTCATTGGGGATCAGGACTTCAAATGAAATATTAATCTCTTTTGATTTCATAAAAACTTTCTACGGGTAGGGTTTACTTTAACAAATAGAAGAAGACAACTTGACTAAAAAGGGCCGTCGTTGCCAGGCTGTCAATTTTTTACATATTTGTTGTAGGTGTTTCAAAAAAGGAAAAATCAGACTTTAGGATTATAAATTATATTTTATTATGGAGAAGCTTCTATGCTCTATAGCCTTTAGTAAATAAATTCCTTTCAGTCCAAACATCTTATTAAGCATTTTATGCTTGCTACACATACTTGTAGATATAAGTTGAATTATTTCGATTTCCTAATGTTGTTACTGGTCAGTACTGCATTACTGCGCCGTTATGTTGATATCGCCTTTTCTAAAGCGAGTAGAATGACCAGGCCCAAGACAATTGCAGCCAAGTAGCCACAGATTTCTAGAAAACATTCCGCGCTTTGCACAACACTTTTCTCGAAGTCCACGACATCGGACAAGATATCAATGGCTTCATAGACATCGTTCGCCATGCTAAACAGACTTGACTCTATGTTATCATTGTTTGAACTGAAAGAGTAAGGGCTGCGAAACATCTTTCGCTTCTTTTTCTGAATTTTGTTGCTTGCACGGAAAAAGTGTACAATTTTTTTACAATTTAAAAAATGTCAAATATTATTTGAAATAAATAAAAGAGGTGTTTCGCATCGAACGTATACCCACAAAATGTTAGCATTAAGCTTCTAGGGTTTACAGTAACACACTGTTTTGTTACACCAATTGGTACTTGAACACTATGAGTGCGATCATATGAAGTTGTAGCTTCACCGAATCTTTTGTTAAAATATGGTGGATTGAAAATAGGTCGTATTCGGTGGGAAGTCGTGACAGTCATGATGAAGTTGTTTACTGAAGATTGATTATTGATTCCAGTTGATCATTTGGGGAGTAATGTGGGGTAACGGCAAAACCATGTTTATTTCATTGCTGCATGCATTAACCATCATATAATTAACGTAATTTTGTGGACTCATCCAACTTGCTTTGCTTTCATGTACATATGTACAAGTATGCGTGAATGCACATGAATTAGAAAAACGTATTTTAAAAATAGTTTAAGTATTGCTGAGCACGCTTTCACATTTGCAGTGCATTGAACTAAAATATCGTCTACGTTTTGTGCATTTCCGGAAAGGGGCCAGTTGAATTTGACAGGCCATGCCATTAAAAAGTCTAATAAAGGACAACAACTATCTATGTATATACTGGACATGCCAGTGTCCACCGCACGTGACGTGCAAAAGCAGCTCATATGGGACATACATGTGTTCGAGCCCCAAAGCTGCATAATGACACCCAAACTCAAATTATACCCAATCAAGATTGGTCGTTACGATAAAGTGCCTGAAAAGTATGGGTTGCTCAGTGAATGTAACGACGTTTACAAAAACAATATAGAGCCCAGAATAACTTGGAATTGTATTTCGACTATATTGTATTAGAGGAATAAATATTCCCGAATGAGAAGTCGGTCTATAGAAATAAACCATTTCATTGAATATCCGTTGTATTGAATGTCTCTATAAAACTAAATAAAATTCCATTACAGGCAATCTAAGCATATTGTCCGGACAAATCGCGCCAACGCGAGCCTTCACTGGCAACGGCCATGGGGACAGCGCACAAAGCAAACAATTTTGTTGCCAACACGCCAACCCTAACCTGATTGGAGTGCAGTCCAGGTTTGTTCGACCGCTCTGATGGTCTTTTAATTGCAACCCTAAAATGGTCACTTTGCAATCAACAGATTTCGACGCAAATATTATCACAAGGCAGTGCTTGGTTCGCTGATAGCTTTGGTAATCATCTTGTTGATAACAATCATAGTAATAAGCATAAATCGTGAGTACAGCATGTATACTTGTAGTTTCTTCCAGATTTGGTCTGGCTATATATTTATATGGTATGCCTTTTAGATAAGAAATCTAGTGCAATATGCCGAAGCAAGGAGTGCATCCGAACAGCGGCGAACCTTATCTACGCCATGGACAAAGAGACTGATCCTTGCGAGGACTTTTACCAATTCAGCTGCGGCCACTGGGCAGACGAGCATCCACGTCCAGATTCGGTTACATCTAATGATTGGTTCCGCGAGCGGCAAGCGCATGTGATGCGCCTGCTGCGTGAGTTCCTCAAATCGAATATCAGCAGTGAGGAACCGGAAGCTGTGGAGCACGCCAAAACAATGTACAAGGCGTGCATGGATACCGAGATGCTGGATGAGCGTGGCTTGGAGCCATTGGTTTACTTTTTGCGAAAGTTTAAGTTGCCTGTTGTTCCATCGGAACTAAACGTGACTCTGAGTAGCTCGTCAAAATATGTTTCGGAGACAGTAGACTTCAACTGGCTGGATACAGTCGCGGCCGTTAAGCAACATCTAAGCTTGGATCTAATCATTGGTTTCGATGTGTTTCCGGATCCGTTTAATCGCACCATCAATCGAATTGCATTAGGCACACCAGAAACAGACTCCGCTTTGCCATTGTAAGTAAAAATGTGTTGCTACAGTGCGGTTAAAACATTTCACAGGCAGCTACATTTCATTGAAAAGTCAGGGTCTCACTATTCTCAGAAACTGTGTGGCTTAATAAGTCTTTACTGAACAATAAAAACAAAAAAAGGATCCCAGTTAGGAACCCACTGTCTTGGCTCCACTTCGGCGGAGTGTTGTTGTGGTGCTTGTTTCATCAACGATATTTTATCGATCCAAAAACTCATTAGGACTTGAATGAAAAATCGACTATCACGTGGGCCGGATTTGGAAAGACTAATTAAGCCACCAAGGGGAGCTCGTGTTGTTGAATTATTTATTTGTTTTTATAAAAAAGTGTGTTGACCAACATAAGAGTTTTGTATGGATGTACAATTTTAAAATATAGAATTTGAAATGTTAATTATTATATTTTACACTAGCAGGTCCTGCCCGTCTTTGATGGGCTCAGTACTTTTGCTTACGAATATAAGTTTATTTATAATATGCTTCTTCCGATACTCGCTAAAGTTCCTAAAGGAACTGCCAATACCAAATTACTTTGGTACTTTGGTTTCGAAAGCTAGGGCATATAGTAGAATACATACTATGACCATACACGTACTATTTACATACATATGTACGTATATTGTATGCATGTATGTAAATTTCTGAAAAATAAAAATTGTAATATTTTGAAATTAGATTGTGAAATTTCTGATAAATTAAATAAAAATATTGTGGGGGCCCTCCTCTCCGATTCTCATACCAAGTACCTAAGCGCTGGCAAATCGCGAATTAAATAGTGCAATTTCTGAAAAATTAATTAATAATATTGTGGATTTAAATTATGAAATTTCGGATAAATTAAATTAAAAAACTGTGGCCGCCCTCCTTTGCGATTCTCATACCAAGTACATAAGCGCTGGCAAATCGTGAATTAAAATGTGAAATATCTGAAAAATTAAGTTATATTGTTGAATTAAATTGTGAAATTTCGGATAAATTAAATTAAAAAACTGTGGCCGCCCTCCTTTGCGATTCTCATACCAAGTACATAAGCGCTGGCAAATTAATTATTGAATTAAATAGTGCAATTTCTATCAAAAATTAAATAATAATACTTATTGTGGAATTAAGTAATGGAATTTCGGATAAAATAAATTAAAATATTGTTGGGGGCCTCCTCTGCGATTCTCATACCAAGTACATAGGCGCTGGCAAATCGAGAATTAAATAGTGCAATTTCTAAAACATTAAATAATAATATTGTGGAATTTCGGATAAATTAACTTAAAAAACTGTGGCCGCTCTCCTCTGCGATGCTCAAATCAAGTACCAATTTTTGAAAAATTAAATGCTAATATTAAATATAATATTTTCAATTACCTAACCGCTGGCACATCGAGAATTAAATTGTGAAATTTTTGAAAAATTAAATAATAATATTGTTGAATTGAATTGTTATATTTCTGAAAAATTAAATAATAATTGGGAAATTTCTGAGAGGTTAAAAGAAAATTTGTCAAAGATATTTGCTGAAGTTATGCAACTGCGAAACATATATAGGAGCAAACAAACATAGGTATGAATATGCGAAAAATATGTGTATTCCTACATTATTATGATTAAAAATTTTAATGAAAAAATGCACGATACGTTTACATAATAATTTATGCATATGATCCATAAAAACTTCAACAAATCCAACTCAGTTCCATTCTAAGGCGAAATAGTTGTAGTGAGCCATAATAATGATTGTGTAGTGGACTTTCACTGTTAAAGGAAAGTTGTGTCTACATTTCAGCTTCCTATTAGCGTTTTGGCTGTGCGTTGATCGCCAATCAGTCAGTCAGGACAAATTGTTTTGAATATATAGAGATGTGCCTCCTTGGCCGCCAAGTATCAGTTAACAGTAGTATATTTTTTTTCATGAGACTACTTTTGTACTTTCCAATTGCAGTAATAATGACGATTCGCGCAAACTGCTGTATAAAATACACAAGAAGACCGTGTTTACGCAGTACAGTGAAGAGGATGAGACTGAGGATGATAGTCACGAGGAGCACGAAGAAGAGGAGGAAGACGCCAAGAAAACCGGTACCAATGCGTATACGGAATATGTACGAAAGGTCATCGAAACATACCTCATTTACGTGGATCCTGACATTAACCGGGAGGAGGCGAGCGCTGGAATTGGCGAGCTGGTTAAGCATGGCTTGAAAGTGGCTCGTCATCTTCACAAGGTGGTATTTATTTGGCTTTTTTGTGGTTATCAGTTCAGGATTTTATTCCTTACAGCTGAAATCAGAGGCGGAAAACTCAACAAAACCCTCGAAAAACCCCATCGACGACATAATCTATATTTCGCTTCTGGAGCTGCAGAATCAAACAGACAAGAACATTGCTCCGAAAACACTGCCCATTTGGGCGCGCTACATGGAGCTGATTCTGACGGGCACACGACAAGCGGGCAAGATGCGCCTCGACGATGTGAACATAATCACTAGCCAGGCAGATATTATATATTTGCAAAACGTTGCCGAGTATCTGAATGAGGCACCACCCTCACATATCGAGTCCTACCTCTGGCTTAGTGCACTGGAAGAGTTGGTGCTGCATACGACCAGCGAGATGCGCCTCCTTCACTCGGAGTACATGCGTCATGTGATTGGTACTGAGGGCAGTAGTCCTCGATCACTGTATTGTGCTCATGGTGTCAATAGTCTCTTTGGTATGGCGGTCAGCTATGTGCTCGCTGACGAGGAGTTTACGCAACACACGCTGCCTCGAGTGGAGCGAATGCTAAGTGACATACGGAGATCATTTGATCGACTGGTCCGAGCTACCTCCTGGATGGATGGCAACACCAAGCGCAAGACGATGCAGAAATCGGCAGAAATGAAGAGCTTCATTGGCTTTCCTTCCTGGCTGACCAATAGTTCGGCGTTGAATGCCTATTATGCTGGGGTTAAGGTGAATGCGAGTACCCATCTGGAGAATCTAATGGGATTCTTGCATTGGCAAATGCTTGGTATGCTCAATGATATGGACAAGCCGGAGCCAATTGGTTGGGCGACATCGCCATCCAATGTGAACGCCTTTCATACGTTCCAGTCGAATGCTATAAGTGAGTTTGATGGTCTTCATAGTTTTGTTTCATTTCATTTCCAATCCAATTAACTTAAATATTTTTAAAGCTGTTCCGGTGGCTATTTTGCAGTACCCCTTCTATGATCTAGGGTTGGAGTAAGTTCGCAATCATTTGACTATCTGTGCACTGAGCACTGTGCACTGCGCACCGAACGCATCGCCATTCCCTTTTTAAATCAGCAAAGCCACCTCGCACCTCTTACCTCGTACTAAAGCACTCGCAAATGTTTGTTCCGTAAACCACGTACATAATCCATTTGTACATATTCAATTAGAGCCCTCAACTATGGCGCAATTGGCACTATTCTCGGCCATGAGCTGACCCACGGCTTCGATGACAGCGGTCGCATGTTTGATAAGGAGGGTAATATGGTACAGTGGTGGTCCAACGAGACTGTACGTGAGTATATAAACCGCACAGAGTGCTTTGTGGACCAGTACAGTCGTTATTATCTGCCGGACATCCACGAATATGTGAGTAGAAAACATAAGCACTGGAAAGCTAATCTTTTCGGTTCACAAATTTAACAGATAGACGGTGAGCTAACGTTGGGTGAAAACATTGCCGACAACGGCGGCATGCGTGAAGCCTTTTACGCCTATCGCCTGTACGTGAAGGACGTGGGTCGTGAACGTCTCAAGCTGCCCGGGTTGGAGCATTTTTCTCACGAGCAACTGTTCTTTATTGCGTTCGGCAACCTTTGGTGTGAGACGCTTACCCCCGCTGCTTCGCAGTATGCTTTAGAAGACTCGCATTGCCCCGGCAAGATAAGATTGAAGGGTGTGCTGTCCAACTCGGAAGAGTTTGCTCGTGCTTTTAAATGTGCACGCGGCACAGGAATGAATCCGGAGGGGCCCAAATGCCGAATTTGGTAATGACCCCTTTGTAGATTAATGGATCTACCAAAGTGATTTCAGCTTTTCTTTTATCTGTATGAATTTTCGCAATAATAGTATTTTTCTCACACTTTGACAATTTGTATAAATTAAAAAAATGAATTCATTCAAATTTGTTATAAATAACAGTAACAAAATTTCACATTGCGCTCTAAATTATGATTTGGTTTCCTGAAGCCAACAAGATTGAAGTATATTTAATCAAAAACCCCTGCTTTTATGCGTCCAAATCGATTTGTCTCGATGCATATTACATACTTTTGCACAAAGCTGGATATATTGCCTTTGTAACCTCCTAGTTCGGGGTAAAGAGAAGAGACCATATCGCCAGGAAGAACCAATGCAGGGGGCTCACAGGAAGCAACATAAATAAAAATAAAAAAAATGATGAAACAGATCTGTGAATAAGATAGAGAGAGTGGGCCCTGACACTGGACTCCATCCAGAAAATACGCCGCCACCACGTACCTGACCTCAAAATTATCAGGAATTAAATTCACTACCAAGTAGCTGAACGTTTCTTTTGATATCATCCCAAAAGTAGGCAACATATCGCAAAAGAGTTAAAATTTTAGGCTCATTCTTTTAGGATGATAGTAAAAATTATTGTCACAAAAACTGAGTTTGGTTACGTAGTTTATTTATGTTTCTTCTTCAATGCTTAGGATCCACTTAGTTTCATTATGTTGGTTTGACATTTACAATACATTTGGAACATACTGGTGTACATACATACAGATTTCATTCATACCTAGATACAATTAGAGTTACGAAGATGTTATGTGGTAGTATACATATTTGACTATGATTCGGTTGGAACTTTCACAATTCAGAATTCAAAATCTCAGAATTCGGTCGTCGTCCCTCTCCCGTAAAGTGATCCAATTCCAGTGCTACGTTGTGCTTCCTGGGCAGATGCGGGAGCTACCGCAACACTGTGGTTTCCGCACATGAAAATTGACTCTGCAAAGGGGGGAAGGTTGTTACTTGTTTTACTGGTGGCGCTATGACACCGCTTCACTTACCACTTGCATAGAATTCGCGCGCAGCTTTCGTCTTGTGCTGATGTAGGTTGTGCAGGTGTTCACACGATGCAGGTGGAATGCATAGTCGGTTCCTGGCGTGGCAGCGTTCATAAAGAGGCAAGAATAGAGTAACTCAATTTAGGAACAAGTTGTGTAGGTTTTTTAAAGGCTAAATAACTAATAACTTGGTGCCTGGCATGCTGACGAACATCAAGGTGCGCGTTTTGTGACATGCACTAGCCCTAGAAAACTTAGAGAAACCACTGGTTTACATGCGAACGTTTATTGAACGGCACAAACGTAAAGACGTTAAGACGTAAAAGACACGAGTATGAAATATAAAAGTACTAGGGAGAATGGAGGCACCTAATGCGTATTTTAGGTTTCCTGACTAGACCTCCACCATTTTCACGATTGAATTTGAAGGTCATCTCACCAGTTGCTTCATAGCTGCGCTCGCCGCGACTGCGCAAATACCGATGCAGGCAGCAGCAGCGACGCAGGCCGGGCACGCGATAAATAATCTGCAGGAACCCGCCTCGAAAGCGCGCATTCATATAGCAGTAGATTATCGGATTGTAGCAACTGTGTGACATGGCCAGCCAATGGAAGGCGAACCATACGTAGGGTAACGGCTTCCATTTGCTAAACTCCTCGTCGTTGAGCAGCAGCTGGAAGTGAGAACATAATTAAGAGATAAGCGCATGTAAGTACTACCTGTTTTCGACGAATACATCAAGACATCAGGAGGGAATGGAAAGCAAAGACCCACCTGCAGTATATTAAATGGCAGCCAACACATGGTGAATACAATTACAACCGTCAACATCATTTTAATCATCTGCAAAAAGAAGCATAAGAAAACCAAATGATTAGAAATCGTGTTTAGTAACTGTTTCAAAGTGAAAGTTTGTAATGTTCTCATTAAAGTTAAACTCTCTCACCGAAGAAGAACCTTTATTGGTAACATACTGGTGCACAAAAAATCGTAATAGGAAAAATTTTAAAGTAGTTGCTTATTTAGTTTTTGGTATAGAATGAAAATTTCGGTCAAATTGATGGCCCTTGAAATAGCTTAGCCATTTCATAAAGAGCAGAAACTTAGGACATTCCAATGATAGTAGCGGTTATAGTTAAGCTGACATTTTACTGTCATTTTTATTTGCAACTAGGCTTTATTGCCCGTTCCTCAAGGTGTACGAGTATATGGTCAAAGTTCAAGCACCTAAGGTCGTATCACTGCTCTTAAGTGTCAGTGCCACTCATTTAAAATTTTTCTCGCACTGCTGTGGTTTATGACGGTGCCGTAACCGTCTTATCTGCTACTGCGTCTGAACGTAAAATATAAAGAGTCAGTCGACGAACAGAGTAGACATTAAAGCAGACGTCAGCGGTATCAGTGTGCTACCAAATAACTTTATTTAGATCAAACGAAAGCAAGCGTCGAATCAGGCGAAATGAGTTAAGTTTATGGACACTTGTAACTAATTCTATTGGAGGGTGTTTCCAAGACTGATGCCACGACCCTTTGCAGACAAGGCCACGACAACCTAATTATGCAGATGTATTGAAGTCGCCTGGCAATTTCCTGACGGCTGCGCACGGCTTAAGCCTAAGCCGAGGTCTTGGTCATATTGCCAGGCAGGCTGAGGGCTCAGACAGGCCTTACACTTGTGCTCGTTCGAAGTCCATGCCCGATTGCAACGCACATACGTTGGCCTAATTATAAGTAGAAGACATACACATAAGCATAGATATAAAGACGGCGCAATCAGACCATAAAAGTGGAATAAATAAAAGCAAGAAATATTCCTGGTCTGAGCTGTTGGCCTGCTTAGGCCACATGCGTGTGGCATACTTTAAGGAGTATAAGCCGTGGGTGGAGCGGTGGCAAATAAAAGAATGTTTTATGCCAGTCTGGGGCGACTTGTGCGAAACAATAGCGAACACACGACGCAGATAGGGGCAACGAGGCGGAAATCATTTTGCATTGAACTGAACCCGAGCGGCAGTTTCATCTTCTTCTTCCTTGCGACACACAAGTCGGCTATAAAAGTAAAAAAATTGTTACCGTTGCGCGCATTTAAAGGCTTTTATATTATTTTACTTACGTACGCACACCGACCGACATACTCACATGTATGACGGCTATGCTGCGGCGGCTTATATAGACATGGCCATAAAGATATTTTATAACGACCCGTAATTGAGTTGCACCAGCTCTGGCGACCTTGCGGTGCTGCGTCATTGGACAGGAAAGAAGGCATCGCCATCTTAAGTGTGTGACAGCTGATGTGGCTTAATGTGTTCAATAGGGTCTTGGACGAGGGGGTGCGGCTTAATATCATTCAATTACGAAAAGTTGATAAAACGTCAAAATTGAAATCGATGGCTGGTTTGGGAGTAGTCTGAGTTGCTTTTTTCTTCTTCAGCTTTCAGTGCTACCTAAGAAATATGAAATTATCCCCCGCATTGGAAATAACAGACAGATTTTTAATAAAGCTTAAAAGAGTTTTGCCATTGGAGGTTGAGGCGAGGCCGCGAATTCAAAAAACCATTGCAGACGAATAAGTCTATCCCTGGAGAATGTGGGCTAAAGGGTTCAGAGGCCATGTTTATGCTGACACTTAAACTATCAATTCTATTGTTTAAAATGTGATATGCAGGAGCTATATGCAAATTGGAAAGATGGTTCATGGCTATTAGTTTCGGAATATCTTTAGGAATTTTATAGCCTTCCCGACTCCCAATTTGTGATGGCAAACAAGAAATAATGGTAGAGTAAAAACGACAAGCAGAATTGGGAGAAACAAAATAAATGAAAAAAAGGATGAATGATCGATATAGAAATAATTTGCATATTAAACAAGTAAAAAAGCTAAAAAATACTCTGTACATATGTTTACAATAATTATAGAAAAAAAATAAGAAAATTTAAAAAAATTTAATCGATTTTACCTTTCTCGGTATTCGAACTCACGTAAAGGGTATATAAATAATAAATAATAAAATCAATAAAATAAAACAAACTCGTATAGCGTACACACATAAGGCATCTTTGTGCAAAATTTGGTGTCTCTAACTCTTATAGTCTCTGAGATCTAGGTGACCATACGGACGGACAGACGGACAGACAGACAGACAGGGCTAAATCGACTCGTCTTGACATGCTGATCAAGAATATATATACTTTGTGGGGACTACCACGCCTCCTTCTGCCTGTCACATTTTTCAGCTCGCGCAAACCTAATATACTCTTGTACTATACATTTCATGTACAGAGTATAAAAACCTAACTTTTATTTCAAATTTTGAAAATCGTTCTTCAATTTTATAATTCAATTGGGGTAACTTGTACCCTTTCCATTTAGAAATTATAATATATCTTGATTATACTTGAATGTAGAAGTACTTTAATACATCAAACATATATAACGTTATCATTTATATATGATTATTAAAACTATTCTTATTATTATTGTGACCAGCAAGATGCACCCACCTCGTAGTGCGATCAGCAATTCTGTTGCTCCAGTAAATTTTAATTTTTAAAAGAAAAACAGTAATAGCAAAGAAAAAAACAATTACCAAAATATTTTCAGGGCAAAAACCTATCGTCGAAAGCCAATGATCTGGACGCGCAATCAAAGCCCGACTATGAAGCCAAACTGTCAAGTGACGCAATATGCCATGAGTAGGTAAAAAAGACAGTTTTATGTATATTCGGCCCATCAACACGTCGCACGTGAGCCAGTAAACATAACGGTTTATGACTTGGCCAATGCACGATGAAGTTGTTCAAGATACAAGTTCGATTGCCAAAATGCGTCGAGTCGAGCACCCGCTTAAAGAATATTGGATGTGATGCCGTTAAGATTGCTACCAAATAGTCACCATTGCTACCAAGAGTTGCAGATGAGATGGCACCAGAAGTGGCAGCAACTGCCGAGGATAAAAGCACCAAAATGCCAATAACCAAATCATATACGAGTATGTGCAATATTTGATTGAGTTGCCAATGGCTTGAATGTCTAGCAACGACGTCAACAAAGAGAGTTGGCTTTGAGTGGGACCATTTTATTTGCATACGAATTGTGTATCATAATCGTGCAGATAACGCGCATATATTGCTCATAAACAACGTCGAAATAGAACAAATTGAAATATGTATATATTTCGACTCCTGGATAAGTCGGTTGTCCGCTGCTTGCCAAGTGAATAAAATCAATGGCCACATGCATGCCTACACATACTGTACTTGTAGCATATAGTATGTATACGTATATGTAGATGTGGCACGGATATCACATCGCCACACCACATCAGTTGTTGCTTCGGTTGTCAGGCGGTCGCTTTTGTCGTTGTCAGCAAATGGGAAAATGTCATGCCGCCTTGCGGCTGTTGCCATTGTCTTTTGCTTTTATGGAATCGACGATTGTTTTTTATTGGGCTATTAATTGCTGTATATATGTATGTATGTATCGATATAGTGTCAGTTCTTGTAGTTGTTGCCATTGATACTGCCCTTATAGTGCCACGTTGTGCATATTTGTAGAACAAAATTTGAAACGGGGGAAAAATTCACCTATGATTTATTGACTGGAAATGTTTATTGGGCATAGACTCCGTTTATTAATACCTCGTTATTGCTGAAATGATAATGTTAAAGTTCAGCGCGTGGCAGTTGTTTGTCACCATCCCTACCTCTATTTGTTTCAAAATGTTTGCGTCCGTATTTGCGTACAAGTAAATGGCATAGTTAGAATTGGAATTAGATTATATTTCAATCTTGTTTACGGTATTATTCTATACACACCACTATTTCCCTGTCCAAGCGAAGCTTAAGTAAATTTTTTAATATACAGCATAATATTTTTATGGCAATGTTTTCGCAACTAAACTAAGAAGGATCATGCCAAATAAGAAGCCGACAGCTTAATGATTAAGCTTAAGTTCACAAATAACACCCAATGGTTGCTTTGTTTTAAGCATTTTCAAATTCATTCCATATTCGATTTTATGTGATTCCGACTTGAAAATCACGATTTGCGTGCTATGGCTTCTTAGGGCACATACCTTCTCACCAGCTCTGATTTAATCTGGGATAAGTTTTGGCATTTGTAAATTGGTAGCCCAATGCAAACAGAAAATCATTCACTTGATGTCACTTGCTCGTGTAGCCGTATGTGCACCTTAACCCGGGGGCGCGGGGTGTGACCTTTTCATTTTTTACTGCATGTACGGTTGAGCTTCGGCTCCGCTTGCATTCACAAGTGCCGGCTTGGAACCTTGTTGACCTGAGAGGGTTCGCAACACGACGTTGACCCGCAGCTAAGGCAAAAGTGTGGCAGACTTAAATGCAACGTCATCCGGCCACGGGTGCGCTGTCGCTTGCATTCGATATAGCGGCAAACATGTGTTTGTTCGTGACAGGCGTAACGCTTTGGAGTTTTCGCAATGAGCATCGCCAGAAGATAGGCCGACTATTTCATGGGTACTGTGTGTGTGTAAGTATGCAAGTGGCGACGTTACTCATACGCCGCGTTAGCCAAGCGCACATCTCCATTTCAACTAACAAGTTAAAGCTGCACGTTGCCTAGATGCACCTCCCTTCATCATCATCTCATCATGCATGTTATGGCTTAGTTGAAGTCGCTGTTGGTTGCGGTCCATTGAGACTTGCCTCGTCGTAGTCGCGGGGCTGCCGTGCGACATTGTGTAAACAGAAGACGAGCCGGCAGACGCTTGACGATTACGGAGGCGCCGGAACGCGCTTTTGCGGCCTAATTGTCAGAGCGTAGCACATCAGTTGAAAAGCATTTGACACTTTGACTTTTGCGC